TTCACGGGGATATCGTTGACAGGGAATTCGATGACGGGGAATATCGCGAGGTGTGCGTCGAGGGGGGAGGAGGGCAGGACGAGGAGGAGGCGGGTTGGTTGGAGGGTGATTATGGATCCTCGCCGATCGCGTCAAAGGCAATCGGGGAGGGGAGGGTGGTTTTTTTCATTATTACGTGTCTGAACGTTTCGATCAGACGCATCAGAGGAGGAAGAGGGGGAGGGGGAGTGGCTGGCTACCTAGCTAGGTAATTACGAGGGAATTATGCCGGGACCTTTGACCCGCTCTTTTTCTCTAACGAAGTCAACGTCACAACCCCCTGTGTCGGGTTGTTTAAGGAGACGAGGAAAGGGTGGATGGATGGATATGGGGTGGATCAGGCTGCACGGAGTCGAGGATCGACAGGATTCTCTGGTGGCTGTGTGTTTTTTGATCGAGGGATGGGATGGAAGTGGATTGTGGTTTTAGGTGGATAAGATCGAATCGTTGCTTGATTTTCTTTTTTTTTTTTTTTTTTGTAGCCCTTTGGTGATTTTCTCATGGAACCACTTGGATTCGACGATATTTTTTCACGTTTGATTTTTTTTTTTTAAATATCGCTTCACGAATAGATTCTTAAGGTGTTTGTATTAAGGCGTGGAAGAATGATTAGATTTTCTTTATTTTCTCAAATTGGATATCGAACTACATTTTCGGCGTTAATTCGAGTGTCGACAGTCGTGGAGATAGAAATATTGTTTTCAATGTTTTCAAAGGTTCGAGAGAAGATGAAGAAAAACTAAGGATGCATCTTGGCAATTACTTTATTATTAAAATATTGTAATAAAATAATAATATAGACTTTAATATTCGACAAATTTTCTTTCTTTACAGGTAAAGATATATAAAATATCGGAATATAGAAGTTTTATACGTTAATTCGTGTGTGGAATCGTTTTAAGTTAAATAAGAAATTCACAGAAAAATCGTGTAAAGTTGTTAGTTCGGCCTGGAAGCGAAAAAGGTCTGGAAAGGATTAGTCAAAAAATAGATATTAACTAGATTGGATAGTCAAATTGGTAAAATTGTTGGAGTAAGAGAATTATTAACAGAATAAACTATGATTTCCAACCAATCAGGATTAGAATTATGACATTGTCGATATTA